GCTACTTCTCGTCAAAGAATGGTAAAATTAGTCGATTATAAATTTACATGATATGATAATCAACAAATCAACCAAAAATTTAGAGAAAGAATTAAGTCACTTAAAATAAGAAAAGTAGAAACCTATAGAAGTCATAAATTTCAGATGAAAAATTAGTAACTTTTTATCTACTAAGTAAATTTCTACCGATTTATTAAGTATTGTGTAGTGTAAGTTTATTATTGGTCAATTTTGACAATAGTGTAGTTGAAAAATGTTAAAATACTAGAGATTGAATTAAAACTTTTTAAATAATAGATACTAAATTGAACAAAATACCAAAACGTTTGTAAACAATATTAATTTCAGCCAATTATAAATTTGGTTGTTAAACTTGGTCTCTCTTTGAAAAAAATTAACACATTTTATACGTAATAGAAATACTTTAATACAAATCGAGGACTATATTTTCAAGACATTTAGTGGTGAAGTGTTATGTTAAAATGATGATAAATAAATGATATAAAAACATAAATTAAGGACTCATACGGTAACTATCTGTTTCTTGTTTTTTTTATTCGTTTTTAATTAAAAAAATAAAAATAAAAAAGAATTGCATGACCCTCAATACTCATGAATGATATATTGACATAACAAGATTTTTATTTATGTTGAAATAAATTGGAAATCAGAACATTTTTTGTTTATGTTTGCAAAATGTCGATACAAATTTAAGAATGTTTCTAAAAAATTAGAACCAATAAACATAAATAGTTGTAAAATGCTTATGTTTATTAATAAAATTGGAAACAAGAAACGATAACGTTATTAAATTAAGAAATGTAATCATGAACGGTTATGTGTAGAATTTGTGTTAAAATTTTGTAAATTAAGATTAAAAATTTCACTTTTTAAAAGTACAAAAACCACTGCATCTTCCTTACGTGTTGGTATGGTATAAACCAATTTGGATGAGCATAGTGCAATAGCTGCTATTATTGTGTTCTGTATATAGCACTATCAGTAGCACAACAGTCTATCCATATTTTTAGTTTAGTTTTTCTACTGTATGTCTAGTTATCTATCGCATTATGTTACCGTAGAAATTCTATGAGCTTCCTTGCTTCCTTAAGCCATTATTTAGGAGTCGAGGTTGAGTTATTGGAGATCTGTTGAGGCGGAGACTAAAATGAACCGAAGTTGAAATAACATAAGTAAAATTTTAAGGGGCCCATCTACTGACCGTGCTGCCGAACCAATTCAGGGCATTTTCAACGTTCGTAAAGCAGTTGCTCGTGGAGTGTTGAAGAGGCCGCCGAAGAGCCATCGAGAAGACAGTGGAGGAAGCGATTCTCGACTACCTCAAGGATTTGTTTTCGTGCAACAAATGTTGATTTCCTTGGAAATATGGTGGTAATAAACCTGTTAGCCGTTTTTTAGAGGACTCCAACTATAATCTTGTAAATCTCCAACTTGTGGAGCATCGAGCTTTTTAGGGACGAGGCAAACATAAGTTTTGGCGAGGCTTATAATGATGATTCCAGTCTCAAAAAATCCTACAACACTCTTATTTTCGGCTTTGAGTTGGTCTTTGAATTTTTGAACTTTTTATTTTGGTTCCTAGACTTTTATATATATATATATATATATATATATATATATATATTTTAAATTTTGATCCTCCCAACTTTTGAATTTCAATTTTTAATCTCTTAATTTCCAGTAAACTTAAATTTTGGTTTTTGTTATAAAAACACTTCCAAGTTTATGAAACTAGCTATTTTATTTACCAATACCCCAATAGGTCAAATATAAGCAAACCAATCAGTACAATAAGGATTCATTTTGAAGTTTGTGAAAGTTATAAAACTAAAATTAAGATTTTAGACACTGAGAGAGAGACCAGAGGAAAAATGGATAAAAGTTAAGGGGTCTAAAAGAAGAGCAAAACTGAAAATGAATAGATGTCAAGAGACTAAAGCTAAATAATACCCATTACTTTTTTGATGAGTATTAAAATGATGACTCTTCTGCTGCATCTTGTCCTTGTACCAGACCGATCATGATCCTGTATGGTATCGATAACATTCGGGATCTCTTCGGCCACAAAGTAGCCCCAATACTCTGTCTAAACCACAACCTACGAAAATGCATCGTAATGTATTTGATTAGCTTCGCTTGCTTCCCCCTTACTCTATATTTTCAAGGTGATATTTATTTAGTTACTATATTTTAAAGATATTTTAGTAAGTCTATCAACTTCAAGTTTATGTGCATGTCGATAATTTGCTTGTTTAATTGTGAACTAATTGTATCACCAAATATTCGTTTAATATTTAAATAATGACGTAGTCATTATGTTAGGTTGTGAGTTAAGTTTTAACAATAAGATCATGCAATATAATTTGAAAGTTTAAGAATTTGTTAGAATATCTTGAAGTTCAAATATCAGATTGACACAACCTTGACACTCCCTTTCAAGGTTTAAGATGTGATTTTAAATTTTGTAATTTAAAAATTCACAAAATGATGTAGTATCAAAAATATATATATATATATTAATTGTTGGCATAAATTAGTTGGGTGGGATAAATATTGATGGCTAAATAATTATTACAAAAATTTTTATTTTTTATTTTTAAATGTTAAAGACTAAATAAATATATTGAAAGCATAAAGACTAAAAATGAAATAATCGAAAAGTTGAAGGTTGAAAATAGAATTTAAATCTTTCATTTGTTATGTGATTTTAGTTAAAATAAAAAAAAATCCTTCCAAAAAACGTAAATAGATTTTTATTACTAACATAAAAAAATGAATTATAAACAATTACCAAATCTTCTCTTGATTTTGGCAACGTTTTACAAAAACTAGGAAGAAGAAACACATAATACAGAGATAATGATAATATTTTCTGTTTTCTTCTAATTTTTTCGAAACGTAAGCTTTTGGTAACTGATTTTTTCAATATTTTCTCTTCATTTTTAATAAATATTTATAAAATTGTGCAGAATCAACAACATCAAGTTTTTATATATGTATTTTTTTTTATTGTTTTCAGTTTTTTCCATAATGCAGGTAAAACTATTATTTTATAATTATTAAATTTTAATATTTAATTTAAAAATATATATATTTCATATAAAATTGAATGGTTATTTTTTCTTAATTTAAAATTATAGATAATGGGTATAAGAAATAGTCACCCAACACTTTATATTTTCTCAATAAAAAATTAAAAACAACAAATCAATGATAAAACGAGAAACAATAAACAAACATGTYTTAAATAACTCATAACATTTTAATATCCATCGAGCGTGGTCTCGCTACAAATGTACAACACTACGTTAGATATTGTAAAGTGCTTTGACAACGTAGATCGTGAATTCAACATCTAAGTTCTTCAATCTTATTAAGATGAGATTTTAGATAGTTTGTAGATCGGTTTTTCGTAACGTATTTTCTTTCCTAAGGAAGAATTTGGTACCCAAATACAATATATAATTGCCGCGACCTCTCTCTCCGGCAAGCAGCAGATGATGACGCACTAGCAGACCATGAACCCACCTCCAGATCTCGTCGTCACCCACCATGGGACATGTGTGTGTGTCTGTTCAAGTCGTCATGCCTACAAAGCCGTTGCGCCACAGTTGGGTGTCAACGCCATTCGCGTGCTCTGCTATCGGGTCGTCACTGCTTGAGTGCTTTGCCGTTGGTTTGATTGTGGTCATTTTTAGAAACTGTTGGTGACAAAATACAACCATTGCCATCCGAGAACGCCAAGAACGTCCATTTTTCTTAAAGCTGCTATCCTCTGTTGAAGGGAGGGGGTTTGACGATTTCGATTGAATTGTAAAATCAATAGCCAATATTTTAGTGATTTGTATCAAAATCGATATTTAATTTTTTTTTTCTAGTTTTTGATTTTGTGTTTATATTTTTATTAGATCTATATTCTAAAGAAGAAATTTGTAATTTTCTAATGGATTATATCTATAAAAGACTAATACATAGAATAGTGTAAATTCTTCCTAGTTAAGCTATTTTTGTAATTTGAAAGTTCAAATGGATTAATTGTGTACTTATACCGAATATTATCTTGAAATGAAAACAAATCGAACTTGAAATTATAGAGCCAAAAATGAACATTTTTGTAGTATTATATATCGAGATTGACTTTTGTGGACATATTACGAACTATATTTCACAAATAGCTTCTATTTTTTAAATTTTACATATTTGGATTCCTAAATTTTAACTTTTTTTTTTGTTTATTAATCATTGCCTTGAACTCTTGCTCTTTTATTCAATTTGATTTGTTTCTTATTTAAATTATTATATTTGATTTTTATTTTTTCCTTTTCATATTTGGATATATCAAAATCTCTCTCCTATTACCAAAAATATCTCATATTTTTTTTTCATATCACGTCTTTTTCTTTTAATAGTATAATAAACATATATATTCCTCCAAAATGTTATATAATACGTACTAATTTTTGTTGATATACACTAAATTTATTAAGATTATTTAATATATTCCAGCAACCTTTATATAACATATTTTTTATTTTAATCTTTTAATATATCGTATGATAAACCTATACTCCTCTAAATTGTTGTATAATAATACATACTAAATTAAAAAGTTATATAATATATATTTTTTAATCAATTTGTATGATAATAATATATCCTTATTGATATATATTTCATTGGTATCTCCCTCTCTATCTTCTCCTTCACGTCACTCCCCTCCATAGGATGTCTTCTCCGACAATGAGCAGGGTGGCAACCTCCAACGACATGTAGTGACACGGAGCACCAACGGTGGCTGACGGCGAGACCATGTGGGAACGCGACTGACGGGGAGATTCGCGACCAGGGCAACTCACGAACAGATCCGACGACCCACGAACACTGTAAAGGGGCCCATTGACACCATTGTAAAGCCCAAAATGAGCAGGCCCAATAAGCGAGTCTCAATCAATCCGTTCTCTTCTACTGACCGTGCCGTCAAAACCAGTTCAGGGCTTGTTCTGAGCATTTTCAGCGTTTGTAAAGCAGCTGCTCCTGGAGCGTTGAAGAGGCCGCCGGAGAGCCGTCGAGAAGATGGCGGAGGAAGCGATTCTCGGCTACCTCGAGAAGAACATCGAAATCTCAGATTCAGGACGCTTCGCCGACGAGTTTGGACTCGATCACAGCGATGTTGTCAACGTCATCAAGAGTCTCAACGGCTTCAGATACGTTGAAGCTGAAGTACAATTTCTTCTTTTCCTATGCTTAAATCCTATATGTTTCTTTCTGCCACTATGAATACTCTCTCGATGACTGTCTTATTCTTAGAATTTTCACTGTGGAGCACTGGGTGGTTCTCTTTAAGTTGGTTTCTGCTGGAAATGACGATTTTGCGAGGCTTTGTTTATGTCATTTGCTTCTTAGCATTAACTGGAACGTGTTGAGCATATTTTTGTAACTTTAAAAGCATTTGTCGTCTTTGTGAACGCGGAACTTCTGTTAAGTTTTGTATTTCGATGGTGTGTGAATAAGCGGTCAATTAATCAGAAACAAATATCTTGTTTGGTTTACTTGTATTCGATAGTTACTTGTTAGTGTTGAGTTGGCTAGCCGTTTCAAGTTTTTTCTTCGATTCATTTGTGGTCTTTCGTTATCTCTTATACAGTTAGTTTGAAATTTACATGAATCATTGAATTTGCATCTCACTTTTTGAGAGATTTTCAGGACATTAAGAAGGAGAAATGGATTCTTACTGATGAGGGCGAGTCATATACTGCAACGGGATCACCAGAGGTGCAGCTATTCCTGGAAATTCCACCAGAGGGAATTCCAAGGGAAGAATTACAGGTAACATTGGCAATCATGGATGTTCATTTTGGTTTCATCTTGATGCATAGTCTGAGGATTATCCCAATTTTTTATTTTCCATCTAAGTTTGATGATCTGAGAGCTGTTTGGGGTGGGAATTTAGGCCTCTTATATTTTAGCATTTTCATTCATTTTTCCAATGGGCGGATTTGGGCCAATGTTATTGCTGAAGCTGTTTGTGGGCCATGTCCAATTGGTTGGTTGTTGCAGAAAAAGCTGGGTCCATCTATTTTCAAAATTGGTTGTGCCCAAGCAGCAAAGAACAAATGGGTTGAAATGGGGAAGCAATTGATATCCCGAAAGGTTAGGCACTTTCTCTTTGTGGGTGTTCAGTATCAATATTATATTGATAAAATGATCTCAAGTGGTGTTTTCGTTATATGCATTATTATAATATTGTAACCAGAACATGCCATCGGTTAACTTCATACCAGTTTTATTCTCTAGTTTAGATATTATACTTAAAAGTTAAAGCTCTTGTGTATTCTTTATGATTGCTGATAAGTTTGTTTTGGCTGTAGGTTCAACATGTTGATGATAAGGTGAAAAACTTGCTCCTACAGATAAAAGATGGAAAGGTGATTATTGGTTTACATAATTCATTTGTTTTGTATAACACAGATTCTTGGATATTTTTTTGAAAAGAAACTGGAGAGAATTTCAGATTCTTGGATATTTCATTCGTTTCTTGTTTATGGTCATACCGTATCCCTATAAAGGAAGTTGTAAAATATTATAAAGTGTTGTAGCTTCGTATCAGATCGCTTGGGACTTAGAAAGTGGTATTGGACTATTTATATACTTTTAAATGATAGGAGTTTGTGATATAATGACTAATATGTTGTTAGGGACTAGAGGCATGGTACAGGGGTGCTCCCTATGTGGCCACACCCATGCCGCAAGCAGCATGTGCCTCTCATGGGCATTTGCTTGGGGAGTGGGCATGGTCGGAGGCCTGGGTTGGCATGCGGCACGACAACGGACTGTGCTCGATGGGGTGGGCTAAGGTGCCATGTACGCTCGGTATGAGCCTTGTTGGGCATGAGATGTTGCAGCGTTGCTCTCCATCCCATGGGCATCCACTCCGAGGTCGATTCTCGAGCTCCAAGCAAGTTTTTCCACCCCGTTCATGGCGGGGGCATGCTTGGCCTCGGTCGTCGGCGTCAGACGTGGGTGGGATCGACAATTGGTAGAGTGCTTGCAAGATGGTCGTTGGAATGTGCGATGGCAATTGACAATGCCACCCACACCCCAACGGCTTCTAGCCGGATCGAACGGCGACCCAGGCCCTTCATCGTGCGGGGGTGAGGCTCGTGGGTTGTCGAGTCTAACTCGAAGTGGGCTTGCTTTGACGATGATTGCACATGGTTCTTTCATTGTTGCCTTTCAAAAATATGTTGTTAGGGACTAGATTGTCATTTCTCCTTATGTTATGCAAATAGTTCTTCATTTTTGTTTCTTTAAGCTTTTTATCATTACCTATTTCACTGCATGCTTTTAAGATTTAGCAGACTGAATTGTTAACTTACAAAATAATCACTCTGAATAATTAATACAAATTTTAGAACGCTTTCTCAGTGTTGCTGGAAACTCTTCAGAGCATCAAATTTTGTGTTTCAAGAGGGTGTAGTATTTCTAGAATTTTTTGTAATTTCTCATTTGTTATACAAGTCAACTAATTAGTAAACGTAATTAGTAAAAAACACCCTGTCTGATTTTGAGGTTGTTTAATCCTCCCATTTTGTTGTCGCGTTTTGAATTAATACTACTATTTCTTTTTGGGGAGGAAAAAATACCATGCCAATTGACTCCTTTGAACTACCAACAATGTTTGGATCATGGATCTTCATAGCTTTTACATAGATTTTGTTGATGTGTCACCTGGTTTCCTTATGGAGGTAGAACACCTGTCTTATTGATGGTTATGAGCTCATTGATTCTCCTCTTGCCGAGTGCTAATGGAAGATACCTCTGGTCTAATAGTAGGTACCTTTGGTCTAATTGTAGGGTTAATTATAGACTTGATATGTTCCCGTTTTCCATGAGCCAGGGGCGGATTTTCGCAATACTATACATAGGCCCTAGATTAACTTCTGATCACTAGCCTATCTGTTTGGATTTCGGTCTCATTAAGTGGGGTTCTAGCCCCTTTGGGTTTGAAAATATGTGGTTCACTCGCATGTTATTTAAATCATCTATTTTGTTTTAGTAGGGCTTTAGGGTCGCCGGCATGGGAAGCTTTTTGTTTTATAATGAAGCTCAGTGGTTTGGAAGGGAGTTTGAGGGATTGGAATAAAGCGGTCTTTGGAGACATTAGCTTCTATAGCTAGTGGTTTGGAAGGGGTTTGGAAGGTAGTTTGAGGGATTGGAATAAAGCGGTCTTCGGAGACATTAACTTCTATAGCTAGAAATTTTGGAGAGGATCAAATCTTTAGATGTTCTGGAAGGAGGTTTTTTCACTTGAGTTGGGGGAGGAGCAATATTGTTGAAAGGAAATTTTGTGGTGTTTATTTGGAAGGAGGATGCCAACGAGAGACATAAAGCTTAGGTTAGTTGGGTGAAGGAGGGAAATTGGAACTCTTATCCTTTTCCTAATTACGCAAGATGGAAGCGAGATAGGAATTACATTGATTACCACATTGATTGCCTAGAATCAATGGGGAGGTGGTGAGAGAGGACGAGGAGATTGCCTTTCTCTCTCTGGCCTTTATGCTCCTCCCTCATTTCCTAGGCCCTTCTTGGAAGGTTTGGATTGGTGTCCCATTCCTAATAGGGAAAAGGAAGGCCTAGAAGCCCCATTCATCCTGGATGAAATTAGAAAAGTGGTTTTTGGTTTTGATAGGAACAAGTCTCTTGGGCCTGATGGCTTCAATACGACCTTCTTTTTGGATAGTGGGGAGGGCATTATTGAGGATTTCTGGAAAGTCTTTAATAAATTTTACGAGGGTTATCGAAACTAAAAAGGAGAATGATAAGGTTAAGGATAGGCAATGGTGGTGGTGTCGACAAAGCTGCATGAGTTTAGGGCCATGACCTCGTGCTTGAAGAAGTTGTTTAAAAGGTCGTCTAATAGAATCGGGGTGCATTCAGAATCGGTGGTGCAGGTGTAGTTCAATGTCAATTCTTTGGTGTCGCTCTGAACCATGCGCCAGTATGTGTCGTCCACAACAGTGTAGCTTCTGATCATGAGGAGGAGGAAGCGAGAGAGAAGTGTGGGCATGGCCATGGGAAGAGAAAAGAGAAGTTTGGTAAAGGAGAAGAGAGAGAAGCTCTGGGGCAACCAGATGGGTAGTACTTTCATATTTTTCACTTTTTTTTCTTCTTTTGTTTATATAAGTAGTATTATTTTCGTTTTGAGATAAGGGTATAATCCTTCACTTTTTTATTATTTTATTATTTTTTTGCTAACGTGTGGGGTTTATGTCTTGAGAGAAATGGTAGAATTTTTAGAGGGGTGGAGATGTCTAGGGAAGAGGTGTGGAAAGTTGTTAGGTTTACTAACACATCTTTGTGGAGAGTTGTTAGGTTTACTAACACATCTTTATTGGCATTGGTTACTGAACCATTCTGTAATTATGTAGTTAGACTTTATTTTTTGGATTGGAGTCCATTTGTTAGCTCGGATTCTTTTTGAGGGGTTGATTTTTTTTATTCCCTTGTATTTTCATTCATGTTTCTCAAAGAAAACTTGATTTCTCACTGAAACAAATTTCTCGTTCAAATGGTTGGAGGTTTGGCTATCTAAAAATCGTTATCACCATAGTCTAGATTGTTGTATTTTTGTTTTAATAATTTGTAAAGAAAAATACTTGGCTCCTTAACCGTATGGAGCAACCTTGTCCTTACCATCATTAAATATTTGATAACTAAGAGTGAGAAATGAAAAAACATGGATTTTTTTTAAAAAAATAATGAGTTCTCAACATTTTAATGGTTGTAAGGACAAGATTTGGTTGTCACCGTGGCATTAAGGAGCTAAGTATTTTCCATTTGTAAAACATCTTGGTGTAGATCAGCTAATACTTCATGATTTTGAAATTTGACTCCAGGCCATTCAAGATGATGACATTAAGGCTCTCAAAGCAAGAAAGCTAATTGTATCACAGTAATTATCATTCTTCTCCTTTTCTGATTTGTTTATTCAGTAAATTTTAATATTTTTTTAATTTTATTTATATTCCTCTTGTGGATGTGCTTGACACTTGGACCTCTGTATTTAGTTTTCGCATTTTTCTTTTGATAGGAAGTTTTCATACTGTCTTGGACTAGGCTTAATTTTCCCATACCTTAAGAAGAGTAACTCTTCATATGCTTTCAGCACTTGCTACGTAATTCTTTCTGTTTGTTATATTAAGAATACGTATTTTGACTTTTTAGAACGTGGAAGGGCTATTCAGTGAAGAAGGGTCCTAATTATGCTCCAAGAAGGAAAAAGACTACTACAGATTTGACACGAGAAAATCTTCAGAGGTCTTCCATTTGCCTTATCTTGTTTCATGCTGAGTTTATTTCAAGACAGTATGCTTTTAAAACTCATAATTTCTCTGAAGATTTGCTCCGATGTGTTGTTAGTTAAAAGTGTTTCTGTTTTATGTATATATGCATCCAGAGCATCCAGAATCAGTATACATATAATATGTGCATCCAGAGTCAGTTCTTGAGACTTGGTATTTGGTTTGACATTAAAGACTCTCATTTCCTACTTATTCATCATTCATTTGTCACGTATTGTGAATTATAAAATTTGGTTTAAAATTCTGTTCCCTGTCTCTGTCTCTTTCTTTTTCTTTTCCTCCTTTTTCAGTTATGGTACTTAATCTGGCGTTTTTTTCCTCTTAATACTTGGTTGCTGATGTGACATAGTCTAAGATACTCACTATAGGCATATACATGTCAGTTCATTGCTGTTGGACGAATGAAATTGCAAATGAAACCTTTTATCATGTCCAGTTTACTCATTTGTTTCTAGTTCATGTGTTGTAACTTTAAACAGCTTGGAAACTGATAGGCTTATCTAATATTTTACACTATCTAGAGGAGACTGGAGAGGACTAGAGTTTAAGGACTATAACTTTAATGCCCTAGGCCAGCCTACTGAGGGCGGTCATCTTCATCCATTGCTCAAGGTAAGAATACTCTGTTTAATGTTTATTTTGTGGAAATGGAAAATCCATCTCTTAAAAAAAATTATTAGTTAACCTTAAACCACTTAAGTAAGGACATACTTTGTGAGCTTATGATTATTCCAGTAGTTGATCAAATAATTCAAAGAACCAGAAACTTCAATATTTTTATAACAAGGAATATGAGTCTCTTCGTATGAACTTTAATTTAAAGAATCTCTGTAGCGCATACATTTGGTTCAGAAGGACTATCTAGACCTTTGCAACCATTGGGCTTTAACCTCAGCTTGATCGTTGAGTCTGAAACAGTGTTTTAAATGTCAGTCGCGACATGTCTACAGACTCGACATCGACTTTTTTCCCCCATATCGACGATATATTAAAATATCTCGAGATGTCGCAAAAATATCGACATCTCGACGGTATTTACGAATATCGTAAAAAAAAAAAAAACTTTAAACTAAAAGAGCAAGGCCCAGTCCATGGATTAAACGAAAGTAGGAAGTGGGGAGGGGTTTTATAGGCGCGCTCCCCTCGCCTGTCCCTTTCCGATGTGGGATTGGGACTGGGGGGGATTCCTTTTGCCCTGTTCTTTCTTTTTTTTTCTTTTTCCAATTCTAATATTAATACTATGAATTCCCTTTTGCATTTCTTTTTTTTTTCTTTTCTTCTATATTTCTAATTCTAATATTAATATTAATATTATATAAATTTATTTATTTATTTATTTATTTCAATTTTCACTATTAACCTATTTTTATTCCAATTGAATTTCTTTTTTCAATTCTTCAAATTTAATTACAAAATTTTCAAATTCATAATTCCATTCAATAATAATCATCATATGTACATGGGCATGTATATCAATATTTCATATCTTGTTCAGTTATGCTAGATTTGGTTATAAATTATTAATTATCAATAAAACACAAATAAGCAACGTTGAACTTCAATTTACTAATTCAAATAATTTTCATCAATCTTCATTATCTTCTTCCGACATTTCTATCGACATCGACATTTTCATAAGTAAGTTACTCATATTTTTACATATGATGGTTAAAAGTGATCAATTGTAGCTTAATTAAGTTACCATTAAAGTATTATTTACTAATTAAAATAATTTTTATTATTTTTCATAATTTCTGTGATTTTTTCCTAAATATCCGTCGACATCGACATGTTCGTAAAATCGGGACGTCAACATTTTGAACTTTGGTCTAAAAAACCTGATTCTACTTGTAGATCATGCTTCCCCCTTCTGTCTATGCATACCTTCAGTATCTATTTATGTAGTGAAACTGAATGTCTTTTGCTCTTTATGACTGAATATTTTTTTGACTTTTAGGTCCGAGATCAATTAAAAGATATATTTCGTCAAATGGGGTGAGTGATTTTTCTTATTTTTATCTCTTTCCTAGTTTTTGTTTTAAATAAAAATTTATAGTCTTAGTTCCATATTTCGGTTTCTGATTGTAGGTTTGAAGAGATGGCCACCGATAAATATGTCGAGAGCAGGTAGGAGAGCTTCACAAGTTTCATCAATAGTTTTATTGAAATTAGCTATGTCAGTGGCTCAATGCGATATAGAAATTGAATGTATTTTCCTTTTGCTCCCTTGGTGTTGTTTCTTAATTTTCTTATTATGATGTAAATGAAAAGCTAGCTTCCTCCCGAATATTCTGAAAAGGGACACTTAGGTGAGGCAACCTAACTTGGCATGCACCATAGTGAGAGATATCTTTTACAAATTGCTCTTTTCTTTTACCTTTCTACTTTCACCCTTTTTTCATTTATATATCCGAGGACTCGTAGTCGTAGCATATTTATCTTCCTTTTTCCTTGTCTTTTTCTTTTGTTTATATATACTTTATATGTACATGGCTTGTACCTAGACTCCAAAGATGTCTATCCTTACACCTTAAAAAACACTGGGTTCAATTGGGAAAAAAACTTTCTTTGTCAAAATATTATATCAAATTCTTATTAACTTTTCTCTCTCTTCTGTGCACACAGCTACTGGAACTTTGATACATTATTCCAACCACAACAGCACCCTGCCCGTGATGCACACGATACTTTCTTTTTGCTAGGTCTCTTTAACTTGATTGCAGAACTTCACAAATTTTTATGTTTAGAATTTTTTCTTAACATTTATTTGCTGTTACATCTGTAGCTCCTTCCAGCACAAAGGAACTACCTGAAGATTATGTGGAGCGGGTGAAGCGAGTCCATGAGTCTGGTGGTTATGGATCCAAAGGGTGTGATATCTTTGTTCATCAAAACATCACCTTTCCTTCTTTGCGTGGTATTTCAAAGACTGTTTAGTTTAATGTTTCTCTTTATTATTTTGCCTCTTTCAGATATGGATATGATTGGAAAAGAGAGGAAGCAAATAAGAACCTACTGCGAACTCATACAACTGCTGTGTCCGCCAGGGTGTTATATTCGCTTGCACAGGTATGTCATCATTTGATGTTTTGTTTCTTCAGTGGCTGTTGATTTATAATATAATCAATGCTGGTTAGCTGGTATATTCATTATTAAATACAGAAACAATGGGGCAAATGATGAACTGTTATGCATGCCAACATTCGCTCGACCATAGAGAAAATCCTTTGATTGATAATTACATAGGAAGTCTGAGAGTCCTGTACTCTTGTACTGTCCTGAGAACTTCTTGGCTCCACTTTTTACTTAAAATTAATCTTAGCATTGAACTCGCTCTCTGGACCCCACTCTATTCTACTACTCACTATTACATTAAGGCGGCTAATATGTTTGAAAAGAAATGTAGGATGTCCTTTGGGGTGACTCGGGGTGGCTAAATTAATCACTAAGGTGCCGTTTTATTTATTTATTTTTTTTTTTTGAAATCCGTGTGTCCGGGCCAGCTTGCGCGCACCTCGACTAATCACGGGTCAACCGTCTGACCCTACTACATTTGGTTGACAAAGTAACTCGTAGGATATTAAATCCTAGGTAGGTGGCCACCATGGTTTGAACTCATTCCCTCTAAGTCCTTTACTATATACAAAGGCCCTTATTGACCACTTGAGCCATCCCATGATGGTTCTAAGGTGCCGTTTTATAACAATTTCATTTTTAGTATCCTATTTAAAAAATTATGCTTGTTTTTTACAATTTCGTTGGGGGAGTTTTTCACCTTTCTTGAAAACTTATTTGAATTATGAGCCAAATTTCAAGAACTTAAATAAGATTTTGAAAACTATACATATATTTTTTAAAATTTGGCGTAGATTTTGGAAATGTTTATAAAAACTATATAACAAAATTATGGAACACATGTTTCTAAGCTTAATTTTTAAAACCATAAAATAAAAAATGAAATAGTTATAAAACAGAGCCTAAATTGTCTAACCGAATTTAAAAAAAAAAATTCAAAGAGCGAGAGAATGGTGTTGTCTATTTGTTAAGTCAAAGCTTAGACTACTTTTGCTTATGCTAGTTTCCTAGCTTTTGGGTCGATCAATTTTCCAATTTCATCTCTCAATTTATTTTTGTATGTTTTCCCCAAATTCTCTAGTTAAGTGTTTTGAAATCTCTCTTTCTTCTCAATATTTGTTCACAGAAACCATTTGCACCCAAGAAGTATTTCTCAATTGACCGTGTTTTCAGAAATGAAGCCGTAGATCGAACCCATCTGGCTGAATTTCACCAGATAGAAGGTATTTATGAATTAGCCTATAGGTTTTTGGGTTATGGTATAACACATTTGAACTATGACAATTCTTATTTCTTAAATATACTAAAACTCTTGGTTACATTTCAACAATCAATCACAAATGTAAATATTTGCCACTTGTTTTTAGGTTTGATATGCGATCGAGGACTTACTCTTGGAGACTTGATTGGAGTATTACATGACTTCTTCTCTCGTCTAGGTAATAAATTAGTAAATGTTCTAGCCAAACGTTGATTTTCTAATATATAACCTAATAGTATTTGAAAGGAAACAATAGGATTCACTTCAAGTGCATATTCTATTTTCATCAGGCATGTCCAAGCTACGTTTCAAGCCTGCTTATAATCCGTATACTGAACCCAGCATGGAGATTTTCAGGTGACAAACAATTGAATTTCTTTGAGATTGCAATTATTACATTCACGTGTTCCAAATTTTTGATTCATTATGTTTGTCAGTTATCACGAAGGCTTAAAAAAATGGGTGGAAGTTGGAAATTCAGGAATTTTTAGACCCGAAATGCTGCTTCCTATGGGGTTTCCAGACGACGTCCGTGTTATTGCATGGGGTCTTTCTCTCGAGAGGTAAGGTTCTTGTGTCCTATTAAATGCTGAAGATACTTTTTAGGTATTTACATAAATGAAGGTGTATTTTTAAATATAGCATAAAGTTTGAAATTTTACAAAAGAAAAAAAAAAGCAGTCCAAATCAAATTTAAACTCGAATGTAATATAAAACACTCAGAGTCAAATTTATACTACACTTTTAAAATTAAATTACATATTAAATTTATGCTTATTTTGTAATTTCTCCTACTTTTTTTTACATTGTCTCGGAAATGTGACTTTTCAGGTTTAAATATACTTTTGCCATTTTGAGTTTTGAACTACTTTTTGGGTGCAAGAAACAATTTCATTAATGATATGATATGAAATTACAAAAGTATTATTCAGTGGATTACATGAAGTCACTCCCAATTTGCTAAAAGGGAAGTGTAGCTATAGGTTGAAACAAAGGGGAACATTTACACTAATTAATAACTAAGTAGACTATAGCCTCAAAGATCCACTCATTAGGAAGATCTTTATCATTGAAGGCCGATCAGAGGTCCTTCATTGGAGCCTCCTTTCTCGATGATAGGGCATAAAGAAGGGAATAGGTGTGGTACAAATTACAACGGCCCCTTGGTGCCTTACTAATAGGAGATTCTTTTGTAATTACAATATAACCTTACTCTCGTGATTGGAAAGCTGTAATGTATTAGCTTGTTGGGGGTGCCTTCTCGGCCCCCGCCCTTAGGTTGTTGCTCATTTGTTACCTCTTTTGAATGAAGCTTGTTGTTTCTTATTAAAAAAAGGTGTGGTCCAAAGGTTTATCATTTGGCCAGGGATTTTTCTAGAATGAAGTGCTGCTTCCGTTGCCAATTTTGTTAGCCAAACGGTCAGATCACATTTTGGGTCTTTGGGATTGCTTTCCACGGGCCTTTTGCAGAGGGGTTGATACTGGTTTGAAGTTCCTTGGCTACTTTAGATGGCATAGGGAAAAGAGAAAGGTAATAGGTGGGTAAGTTTGAAGGGGTGGCTTGGATGAGGGTAAGTCCCACCTTTTGAAAGAAAAGAATTCCTGAAAGAAAAGAATTCCTCCAAGATTGCAGCCGGGTCCCAAAAAGAGAGGGTCCTTTGTTTGCTATGTAGGGATAGTCCAAGGGACGAGTTTGGCCTAGAACCTTTTTTGGAAGCAAACTTATTTGCTGAAGAATCCAGCTTGCTGTCCTCCAATATACCCGAAATTTCAGATTTCTGACAATTAACGTTGAGCCCCGATGCTTCCTCAAAAAGCCGAACAATGTTGAACATGTTGGTGAGGGGGAGGTCATCAAATGGAGAGAAGAGGATGGTGTCATCTGGAAATTGCAAATGATGGATGTCCAAAGATTTGTTACCAAGGTCGAAGCCTAGATGAGGTTAAAGCTTGCTGACTGGGATATCACTACGCTAAAAACATTAAAAACCAAAATGAGTAGAAAGGGGATAAAGGGTCACTTTGGTGAAGACCTCTAGATGCGATAATTTTGTCTCTCGGATGACTGTTGATGATTATGGAGAAGTTTACTGAGAGATAGAGCCTCGAATCCATCGCCTCCAAGTTATGCCAAATCCTTTTGCTATTAGAACCTCATCTAGGAAATCCCAATCAACTTTATCAAAAGCTTTCTCTATGTCAAGTTTGATAACCACACATTTTCTCTTCTTCCTATCTCATTCCTCTGACCTCATTGGCTATTAGTGATGCATCAAGGATTTGTCACCCTAGAACAAATTGTGAGAGTCCTATTAGGATTAGTTTGGGAATAGTATTAGTATTATAGTTAAGGACATTATGGTAATTAGATTGGGGTGAGTTTGTTATAAATAGGGGTAGTAGGAAGAAGAGAAGGATATCTTGGAGTAGGTGAGAAACTTGAGAGAGTTCTCGGGAGAGATATAGCCCTCTCGAAAGGCTATTGGTATTGTAATTTTTCTTTTGATATTGCAATATAGTTACTTAGTTTCGTTTAGTATATTTGGGTTCCTAACACAAATGTTGATTGCTCTTCGGAAATAGGGTGGCAATACACCTTTTAGCCTTTTTTAGAGGACTCTAACTATAATCTTGTAAATCCCCAACTTGTAGAGCATCGAGCTTTTTAGGGATGAGGCAAACATAAGTTTTGCCGAGGCTTACAATGATGATTCCAGTCTAAAAAAATCCTACAACACTTTTATGTTTTCGGCCTTGAGTTGGTCTTTTGAAATTTTTATTTTAGTTTCTAAACTTTTATTTTTATTTTTTAAAATTTTGATCCTCAACTTTTGAATTTCAATTTTTAGTCTTTTAATTTCCAGTAAACTTAAAATTTGGGTTTTGTTATAAAAACACTTCAAGTTTATGAAACTAAGCTATTTTATTTACCAATACCTCAATATGTCAAATATAAGTAAATCACTCGGTACAATAAGGATTAATTTTGAAGTTTGTGAAAGTTATAAAACTAAAATTAAGATTTTAGACATTGAGAGACCAGAGGAAAAATGGATAAAAGTTAAAGGGACCAAAAGAAGAGCAAAATTGTAAATGAATAGATGTCAAGAGACTAAAGCTAAATACCCATTACTTTTTAGATGAATATTAAAATGATGATTCTTCTGTTGCATCTTGTCCTTGCACCAGACCGACCATGATCCTGTACGGTATCGATAACATTCGGGATCTCTTCGGCCACAAGGTAGTCCCAATACTCTGTCTAACTACAACCTACGAAAATGCATCATAATGTATTTGATTAGCTTCGCTTGCTTTCCCCTTACTCTATATTTTCTCCAGGTGGATCTCAATCTAATAAAGAAAAATTCGATGTGCCGCCTCGGAATCAATCCCTCTTGAGCTAATCAAAACTCTGGAAGCGCACTCGAGTGTTTCGGTACCATTCTGATCTCCATTTTGATTTGTTTTGACTAGCGGAGGGCAAACTCGATCGATCAAATGCCCCTTCTCTGAAGTTGCTTTGATTCAATTTCAAGACACCTCTATAACACACTATCCATTTAATGCATTATTGAAGGAATGGTTATTTTAAAAAACAAGTAGATCCTTTTTTTTTTTAATTCACACAATTGAGGAGCCATATTCTTCTTACATGTTAGTTTTGGAAGGAACTTGATGACATGTAGATATTCTCTTGAAATCCTTGATTTATAAGGGGATGTTTATGGGTTAGCTACAATAACAGGATTAGATGGCTGATTTGATTTGATTTGATTCGGTTTTATTTTTAAGTTGATATAGTTTTTCGGTTAAATTATAAGTTGGGCCTTGAAGTTGTTGAATTTTCATGGTGATATTTATTTAGTTTCTATATTTTAAGGATATTTTAGTTGTGAACTAATTGTGCCACCAAATATCCGTTTGAAATTAACCCATCATGTAATATTTAAAGGATAAAACTTGAATTCCCATGTAGTTCAATACCATATAGACAAACGCAAAGAGGACAAAATAGGAATTCAGATGAGCTTTCTCCTAAATCTTTAGAGGAAGTTCTTTCCATATTTAAACATATGGGGAGTTAAGTTTTAACGATAACTAAATATAGTTTGAAAGTTTAAGAATTTGTTAGAAGATTTTGAAGTACAAATATTTGATAGATACAATTTTAACCCTCCATTTGATACCAAACGATTTTAAATTCTTTAATTTACAAGTCAATTTTTTTTTTAATTTCTTTATCTTATTTGGAATGAGAATGATTTGAAATGAATATAATTTTATATTTTTATTTGGATGTTCAACTAGAAAGCAAAATAATATAGAAAAAATTTTGTTTTTCATATGAAATTAAAATGGTTAAATTTTGATGTTTCAATTTTATGGAATATTAATAAAATGTTAATTTCAATGGATATTTCTTAAAAAAAAATTATACAATTTTGTAACTAATATTAAAAATAACAAAAGCATCCCTCTTTTTAAATTAGTTAACATTTATTAATACTAATTTTACATTTTGTCTATGTTTTTTTTTGTGATACTATCGAAATGTCATTCACATTTTATGTCAAGGTCGAAGGATATAAGTGTAAATTTAATACCTTGATCTTTTTTCTCTCTCTTCAGGTAACTTGATGTTCTAAAAATATTTAATAATATGTTAGACCATGATTCAAGTGAAAAAAAAATGAAATTGATATTGAATAGGAATTTTTTTTTTTAATAGTGAACAAGTGGATTTTTTTGAAGTAAAATCGGTAGGGTTTAATCATACATGGCTCGTTCGTTAACGATTTTAGTTTTTAGTTAATGAGGTTTTTTTATAATTTTTTTTTTGTTTCTAGGCCTTTGCTTTTAAAAAACAAAAATTATATTTGTTTGATAATTTTTTTTTAAAATAGAAAACCAAACCTGTTGGATAATTACTTTTCATTTTCTATTTCTAAAAATTTTCGAGAAAAAAGTAATGGCAAACATCTAATATATAAAAATTTTAGAGATAGAAAAAAGATAAATTTAGGCAAGAAAAAAATTTAGAATAAAAAAATTGTTAAAGATAAATGTGTGAGAGAAAAAAAAAATCAGCAATAGAAGAAAAATGAGATCGAAAGACATATTTATAAATATGTCGTTAAGAATATACACTTTTAAAATTTACTTAGATTTTCAAAAACGTTTTTAAAAACATAATAGAAAATTTAATTGTTTATCGAAACACGCCTATTTTCCAAAAACTAAAAATTAAAAATAGAAAACAACAATGGTGATAGTCTCTGAGGACCCAGTAAGGTTCCGTTTCTCATTTTCAATTTTCAACTTTCTTTCTTGTTTCTCCTTTTTTTTTTTTTGGAACATTCTCACAATTATATAAAAATTTTAGGAACAATCAAAACAAGTTTCTCTTTTCTTGTTCCTATTTTCAATTTACTCCAAAACAAAATAAAAACATTGTTTTATCAAAAAAGAGGTTGAAACCATGCAACACATTTTGTTTTATTAAAAATAAAGAAACAGGAACGTTACCAAACGAGCCCTAATATTCTCGTTTCTTGTTTCTGTTTCTTGTTTCTTAATAAAAAAAACATAGAATTTCATCACTGCCCCAACTTTATGGATTTAAGAATGATAAAACAAAATTTTTATGTCATAACAAATTAGAAATGGGAATAAGAAACAACCAACTTAAATAGTTTCTCAAAAGATTATATTTCTTAATAAAATTAGAAAGAGAATGTTACCAAAGAACCTATCAAATTGACCCGATTTGTTGTGATCTTTCTCTAATTTCAACCTGCACCTTTGACAAAATTTTCTTCTTCAAAATATTATGTGGACTACCCAATATTTTCAACAATTACCCCTGGTACATAGAAACAGCAATAAAATGACAAAAATGTACAGTTAAAATTGCAGATGAATGACTTCTATCCACATATCAAACAGACAATGGAAAAAAGGATGAAACAGATTCTGTCATTCATAGCTAAAAGACATTAGAAAAGTGACCAAATTCAATGGGAAAAAGAAGATGAAGGAAAAAATGAACAACAATATCTCAAATTTGTGGCTCTAAATGTGTGTACCAAAGATAACTACTACTCTACATGCATGACTTTGAGTTGTCAACAAGTTTTTTCTAAACAATTTTTTTTATTTGTTGATACAGGAATTTGGATTCGGTCTTTGACGTCGATAGTTCTGACGAATACCTGCATATAGAAAATAAACTTGCACACCAATGTGGTGTTGAGCCCAACACACTACATGTCTACGTCTTCAAAGGATTTCGTTGAGAGTAGCAAAAAGTAGAGTTATGAGAGCGTATCTCGTGTTCCAAATCTCTGCTAATTCATAGAGGAATTTCATTGGGTCGGTTCAAGTAGACCAGCTCAATCAGGTCAGGTCGACTTGTGTCTCTTTTTAAGTTCAACCCGCAGGGTGGTCGAAATATATGCCTAAAATATTTAGAAATCGTACTTTTGTAAAATACTTGTGTTCGTAGAAATAATGTTAAATACCCTTGTAGGTTGCGAAACCGGTGAAACTATAGTTTTTTTTTTTAATTAAATTTTACTGATAATAGCCCACACATGTGGGTTATTAATTATTTTATGTGTGAAGTGACCGAATTTTCGTCAAAGATAATAGTAAAAATATAATAAAAAGGTACGTGGTCAGTTGATTTGATAAAAGGTCAGAAGTTTTAATCTTCACTCACACGTTGTTGAACTAAAAAATAAAAAATAAACGGTTTTTAAACTATTCGAGAGTGGGGACAAAACGAGTCTAAGTTAGGCCGTAGAATAAGTTCTCCATCTCATCCTTAAAATTAATTCAACATCTCCTAAAACCTATGAATTCTCATCTCATTTAGTTCGGTAGGTGTGTATAGGCCCTACCCATGAGAAAAGTTGTAGTCCTTACTAAACATAGTATCACTCTATTTCATCCTTAATTATTATATCACAATCCAGTTCACATTTCTTCTAATTTACTCGAAAAAAAATTTCATCTTTTAAATCGCAATCACTTATGCATTCGGTTGGAGGTGAATTCTCAACCTACACGTGACATGCTATGATTGGATGTACAGCCATACATGTGTCATCCTGCGCAAGAATATTTGTCTCGATCGTGGGTCCTCATGTCGAGTCGACATTATGCGATGGTCGAGCCAATCAAATGCATGACTAAGACCATTTCGGCTCAGCCTATTCTCCGACAAACTCCGCAACATCACGCCGCACTCCATGGCAACCTTAAAGAGTCATTGGGGCCTTGTTGGGACTTTGCCTACAAATAGAACCATTCCGCTTCATTTTGATGTACGCGACCAAACCAATTCTCTCTCGAGTTGACTTGAACGTTTATTGACTTTAACATCGGAGTATCTACTTTGTTTTGCAGATCCTCTGCTCGGCATTCGGAGCTCAGTCTAGCTCGTCCTAGCCGATCCGGAGCTTGGAGACTTGGTCATTTCTTGATCAAACACACTCCAGCACAATAATTTAACGTATTTGTTTGAGTTAATAGTGTAAATAAATATAAAGTTAGAATATTGGTGTTATAAGATAGATCTCTCTTCACAAAATTTCTTTTCCAAATTCAAATGAAAGCAACATGCACAATAAAAAGACTAAATAGACAATTTGAAACCATAGTGTTTGACAAAATTCCAATACTCATATTTGAAAATGATGGAAACTTTTGAAATTGCAATATTTTGAGGGTGGGGAGACAGAGATATCAAGATACATGATCCTTGTGGGTCTTAAAATCATGTAATTTTGGGGACATATGATCCTACCAATTGAGAAATTATTCAATTTTTCTGTTTCAATTTTTGATTTGTAAAATGATTTTTGCATCCTTTTTATTTTAATTTATTTTTCTAAAAGACGTATTTCGTTTTTGCGTGTATATATATTTTTTCTCTAAGAAATATACGTTTTGTAATCATTTTTTATTCGGGGTGTTATTATCATTTTCTCCGAACTTTTCACTTAAAACCGTGGTTCTAAATATCCGTCGACATGTCGACATTTCCATCGATATATCCATATTTTCATGGGTTCGACATTGATATGAAGGGTAAATCGACATTTTCTATTGTACTACAATAAAATCGATAAATATGAAAAATATCAACAAAATGTCACTAATATATACATAATATTAATATTAATTATTTTTAACTAATTTAGAAATAGGAAAATGTTTATTTTATAAATTTAAATATTTTTTATGACTTTTTAATTTTTCTAACTTTTACGAAAATATACATCGACATCGACATTTTATCGATATTTCTATGAAATTGAGACCTCAACATTTCTATCGACATCGACATTTAAAACCTTGCTTAAAACTAACATGAACTTAACTGGTTAAGTCATGTATCTCCAACCAAAAGATCATATGTTCGAACTCTCACCTCCGCACTTAAAAAAAGTTACCAAATGAATGTTTGAATTAAAAAAAAAATCATTTTTCATGTATCTAGTCTCTGTCGTGTTTTTATTTAGTTAATTGTCTAAAAAATGTGGTACTCAACTAACATTTCGTAATATCATTTCTTATTTTGTGTATTATAATCATTTTCTCTTGACTTTTTTACTTGAGAATCTTCACTTTAAACAAATAAATTTTTGAAATCAAGTTGTTTCTTTTTTTCTCTAAGAAATGTAATACTTCGTTAGCATTTTGTGATCATTAATTATTTTATGTAGTAGAATATTCTCAGTTTGTTAATTATCTTTTTAATTATTTTTTTACTCTCCACTCCTTATTTTGACCGCCACTCATTAATGT